TAGGTGGGTAGGTGGGTAGGTGGGTAGGTGGGTAGGTGGGTAGGTGGGTAGGTGGGTAGGTCGGTAGGTCGGTAGGTCGGTAGGTCGGTAGGTCGGTAGGTATGTAGGTAGGAATGTATGTATATGTGTGCGTTTTTTCTTGTTGCGTTCATGGTTGCATGTAGATCCATTTCTTCGGCCATAACCCAGGCAATGCTTCTCGGCGGCGGTTGCTGCCGGGCCAACCCGCCAGCTGGCTTGGTATAATCAAGGCATAGCAGCCGCAGAGCTGTGGCAAGAATCCCAAGAGCTTGAGGGGACAGGACAGCAATTACTGGAGACAGCTATAGCGGCTTTTCGAAAGATTCTCGAGCTAGACACCTCCCGGCGGTCAGAGCTTCGCTACCTCGGCACAATCGCTGCTGGACGCTTGCTGGTGGCAGCTGCTGAGCGATCGGACGAGCTCGGCACCTCTCACTGTGACGCTCTCGCTGCGGAGGCGACGAAGCACTTTGAGGAGGCTCATCGTCTGGTCCGTGAGTGGGGCCACGATGATCTGGGCGATGCCTGGGGCGATTGGGGCAAAGCACTGGCACTTCAAATGCGAAGGTACATCTCCAGCATTGGGAGCCAGAGCCAAAGCCTGAACTGGAGTGAGCTCTTGCAGAGAGTAAGTACTCTTTGCAACCAGGCCGCGGAAAGGTTCCAGGCCGCCACACAGGCGGGAGAAGGGGAGGATGAAATGGAAGACAACACGAGTGACCTGGATTGGATGGTTTTGCACATCGAGCACTTGTCCGCTTTTGTGAGTATCGCTTCCCGGGGTGTCACCGAAGCTCCTGGCGCTGAGTCGCTGGAGTGGCTTCGTCGTGGTATCCTTGCCTTCCAGGAAGCGGTCCGTTTGGCTTTTGCAGTAGTTGACCTCGCTGATTCAGCTGACTGGCAGCACAAAGCCTTGCAAGGAGATGTCTTTGCAGCAGGTTACCACCTCCTGTGCGCTGGGAGACCTCAACACCAATTGGTTGCGGAGGCGCCCGAAACATGGCGGAGTGGCCTCTTCGGAAGCCAAGGTATGCTGATGCCCTCGCCTCCAATCTCAGGCGAGTCAGCGCCCGCACAAGCCCAACCACAGCCGGTAGAAGTGACGGAGGCGGACCTCGTACGCCTTGCTGAAGAAGCGTATGGCCGTGCTTTGGCAGCACCTGGGGTGGACAGAGGAGAGGTGGGACTCTCTTGTGGAGAGCTCGCCTTGTCACTGGCCCGGCGTGCCCTTGCAGATGGCCGGGATGCCACGTCGGCTCTGCAGGGTGCAGCAACTTCGCTGCAGCTCGCAGCCCGCTTCGGCACCCGGGAGGAGAAGGCCACCGCCTGGTACAACCTCGCTTGCGCTGCTGCGTTGGCCGAGCGGCCTTCGAAAGCTAGCGAAGCGCTAAGAGCGTGCCTTGAACTCGTCTCGCCGGCATCTCGTAAGGATTGGCTTCGGGAGGCATCTGAGGACCAGGATCTTAAGCATCTGGTCTCGAGTCCTGACTGGTCACGCGCTACGGGAGGGTATTGACACCTGCAAGTTCGCATCTATTTTTCTGCACATGCCTGCACTCGATTTTCCCAGCTCCAGTTCGAAAAAAGATTCGTGTCGACTTGACTTGTGGTAGCCTAATGAGAACCCGTGAGGAGAGTAGCTATCATGCTTGTAGTTCATGTTCTGCAATCGGAGATTGTATAAGGACTGCGCCGTGCACTCTAACATCTTTAACGACACCAAGCACCATGCTTTCCAGGTTGAGTCTTCGCTGCCGGTGGATGAGTGCGCTGATCTGTCCGATGAGCTGTCCGGATGCGCACTGCGCCTCGGCCCAGATCTCTGTTTAATCGGATCGCCAGGACTTAAAGTCAACCCTGTCGGCACGACGTGCGACTTTTGCAACGCAGGCCTTGCCCGGAAGTGTGTCCAGGAGTGCCTTACAGCTCAAAACGCAGAAGCACTTGTCGGACGCCGACTTGCCTGGCAGCTTTTCTGTGGCGCTTTCCACAGAGGCACGACTTTTATTCAGGGCTCTTCTGCGCTGAGCTCTGTCACTTAGCATAGGAGGAGCAGGAGCATTCCAGGCTGCTTCTTGGGGTCAGCCTGAAGTCGCTAGACTCGCATTCCCATATAGTCCCTCTACAGCTTTAGACTGTGCAATATCCCCCAATTACCATGACATGGCTCAGAGCTGCCGGCAGGATGGCAAGGGCCACGTTACTGAAGGCGAGCAGGCGAGGTGGTACCCGCCTTGAGTTTGCCTTTTCAGGGCGGTTTGGGGCTTTCTCTCCAGGACTCAGAAGTAATCAGGTCGCGGGCTTGTATTGCAGCTGAAGAGGAGTGGAGAGCTCTTAGTGGCATAGTCAGCGGTATGTCGGGTTCTGCCCGAACGTTGTTTTGCTCCGTCTTGGAAGCTGACGATTGGAATGATGCTGCCAATGCTGTTCATTATTTTGGTGTTATGTTGTACTACAGCAGGTTGCTAGCACTTCTGCCGGTGTGTGCGTGTATGCGTGCTTCAAGACGGCCATCATTGTTGCACTGGGCTCCGGCAATCGTGCACCGAAACCCACGATTCGCCCAATATCCCGGACCCTCCAATGCTTGCCGGTATTTCGGAGAGGCCAAGCATCAACAGCCAAAGCCCAAGGCAGAGGCTGGGCATTTCCCGGTAATCCTTTGCATTGCGTTGTCCATGGGACTGGGGATCTAAACCTGCTTCTGCCACATCTAGTCAGCACCGAGAGTCACAGCCGGGGAGTTAGGGCGGAACAGTTTAACCCAGAGTTTACAGGGCTCCAGGATCACCGGTAGTGACTGATAGTGCCCTGACACGCATGACTGTAGGCCTTGGAGGGTAATCCTGTTTCCAGTGCGGTTGGCAAAGATGATCCGGCCCAGGAGCCGCAGCACCCTGCGTCACAAAATCGCTTCTCGCTTAGCATCCAGCAAAACTCGAGCTTTGTGTGGATGATCGCTTTTGGATTTTGAGCTTCGGGTTGGGAAACAGGGTCGAGGCCTACATGTGTACACTCTACAGACCAGTCAGACTAGTCGTTTGGGGATGCAAACAGCAGGGATCGCTGTGTGCATTGTCTTTCGAAAACCAGGCCCGTCCCGTTTTGCAGGAATGCACTGAGCAGGAGCTTTTATCCAACAAGGTTTTAGGCATCCACGGATACTTCTGGTATCTAGCAACATCATCTGTCCGAAGTCACTGCGGCTTCTGGAACATACGGTGATGCTGCTCGAAGGCCAGCCCCAGCTGCTCGATGTAAGCAGGCGCCGGGAGTTGACTTGTGTGTTTGGGCCGTGACGCCGGCTGCACGTACTCCATCGGTTCAACTAGTGACTTCCTTTAGCTATCGCCAGCCATCTTTCAGAGAATGCCAACGCTCCCTCGTGATCCGACTCTGCAGATTGACGGGGAAGCATTTAAAGCTTCCCCTGCTTCGTCAGCCTACATATTCTGACCGATGCTTCCCTCTGAGCATTGGCACTCCGGGCCTGCCGCCTCCGCGCCTCCCGGCTGAACTGCCCTGTGGCCGTGCGCCTCTGCACAGTTTTCCATGCCTCGCGAGCGGCCCGCCTTTGCTTCGGGCACCGCCTTGTGACGGTAGCATGACGGAGTACCTCATCTGCTGCTTCGCCACACATTCCTAAACCTGTCGGCAAGTCCGACGCGCTTGTCGTGCCTTCGTGGTTCAAGTGCCGGCTGCTTGGGTTGGCTTGCCGTATTTTGCTGCTTCGAAGAAGATGAGTATGCACACGTAGAGCCGTATGTTTCTCTTTGCAGTGCGAATGAAGCAGGAGGTCAACGGCTGCCTGCTGCCAGTGCGCCTCTGGGGAAGTTGGCTTCTCTGCTAGCGGCGGATGCAGCTTCTGTTGCCTGTCCGATGCTGGTGCTTGTGGGTTTGCATGTCGAACCCTAACGGCCATCTATGTAGAGCTGCTGCAGTAGCAATTCTTTGCAAGGGTGACGTCATTACTCGGGTGGGAAGATGCCCCTATCATGCGGCCATGGCAAGTGGCCAGTCCTCGCACACCCCTGCCTCGGCCTGGTGCATAGTAGAAGGGCCGAACACTGCAGTCCTACCCTGACCATGCGGTCGGTTCAAATTTTTCCACCAAGGCACCCAATACAACATGCTGTTGCCACCCCGCAAGACCAGCAGCCGGAACTCCCATCCAGGTCAGGGGGACGTGAAGCGGACGGAGAATGCACCTCAATCATGCCATCTGCCTCTTCGCGAGAATATACATAACTGAGAGCTCGTGGTAATGTAGAGGTTGGAATAATTCAGACAAATCCTAGTATAGTCCTAAAAGTCTATAAGTATACGACACGAAACCCTCAACGCCGGGGCTCAGGAAGCTCAGAATAGGCCACAACGAATCCCAGGCTCTACTGAGGAATCACGTTCTCAGGAACTCCTGTATCGTTGGATCGTGCCTTTCCTCGTATTCAGGATTTTGCTGCAAGTTCAAGCATATTCCTAATTGACGGGAAATTAGATCTTCGCTCTGTGGATTGGGCTCTGTTGCTTATAGGTGTGATTAACATAGTCTGGTGTCGGGCAGGTCAGACTGTATCATTTGCTATCGAATGCAGTACTTCTAGGTTAAGTTGTCTGCTGCGGATGCTGGGGCCCACAGAACTTGGGCAACGACTGTCCGTGCTTTTTCGCAGACGGGTTTGGCACGGAGGGGGGTAGATGACAAAACTAGAAAGTTGGACTTCTCGAATGCGATACACCCCAAGTTGCACGGTCATTGCGGTGTCTTTATGCTGAGGTCGTTGATCGACGCCGCTGCACGAACGCACTGTGCACAACAGTGCGGTCGGCAAATTAGGCAGGTTTTCGTGTGATGTTCCCAGGCTTTTCGCCTACGCTGTCAGAACAGCCGGACGATTTCAACGAAGCATTGCAGAGCAACCCATGATTCGGACCCTGCACAAAAAACTCTACGGACACGCATGCGTACATCCGTCCATGCATGCATGTATGGATGTATGTATGCATGTGTGTAGTACATAGCTATGTACATTAACATATAGAGACGCATGTGCGCAAGCAGGTATATGTGTGTTTGCATGTGCGTGTATATCTGTACATATATTATTTGCATACATGCATGCATGCATGCATGCATACTTGGCTACGTTCGAGTTGTTACAGAGTCATTTATAAAGCTCTGACTCCGTCCGTTGCCGAAGAGGCGGAAGAGCTGGTATCCGGAGGGCCTGAACTTGTGAGCGGCTTGGATGTTGCGTGGCACGGTGTACAGTTTACGGTCGTGACATGTCGTGGTGGTTATTGTTTGTGCCACAACATCCCCAGCCGGGGCTCCAGTTTCACCGTAAGAGGCCATCTTCGTTGTTTGGATTTGGTAAGGACAGGATGACCCCAGTTGGCACCCTTCACCTACCTTGCCGGATGCTGCAACCATCTGCGCACGTAGCCAAACCCTAGCACCGTTGGCTATTGTTCGCATTATTATCACGATTTGCAGTAGCAGCTGCTCAGCGGATCAGCGGCCCCTGTGTGCCTTGCAGAGGAATAAAAGCGATGCGAAATCAGGTGCCTTCATTTACAAGACGCAACTAGGCATTTCGCAGTAGGTACCTGTAGGGTGGCCGATGGCTTGAAGGCGATGCACAGCTTTGGGATCTGCTCGGTCCAGATATGTCCAGCTTCGAAAGTGTTCAGCAAAATTGAGTTGTTGACTGAATGCCACGCGGGTGGGCCGTTTTGGCAATTTCATGTTGCGCCACGCTCTGCATGCTGGACACTTGCACACCACAGCTGAGCCATCACAACCGAACATCCAGGGTCGTCCTGCAGCAGTTACTTATGGTCTTTTCTGGCTAGCAGTGTTTGACAGAGGAACGTGACGGAAACCCTAAACCCCTAAACTCGGACACTTATCGCCATGCCTGCCTGTGTGAGTGTGTGAGTCGAAACCCCTAAACGCCTAGAGTTGGACAATCACAGTCGACACAACAGTCACCTATCTGAACCCTAAACCCAGTACTGTATGGCGCAACTGTCATGCGGATGCGCGTCTCTCGCCATCCTTTCGGCTGTGTCAGACTTGGAGACCTGCCGAAACTTCCCGAAACCCATCGACTGTGTGGAGCCTTGCCTGCCTTGTCCGAGTGTGAGAGTCGAAAAGCCTCCGACTATCCGAAGGAGCAGCGTCGGCTCTTCACGGCAATGAGGAATGGGACCGTGGCTGCTGGCAGCTCAGAGTTTCGCAAGCTAAATATGTGGGCCTTAATTGATTATTTCGAAAGGCTTCTCGGCATCATACTTATCGTATACTTATGCACGCATGGGCGTTAGGAATATGATATCTGAGTATGTCAGGTCCAGTTTTCCTCATACAGTCTCCAGTGTTCGAGAGGGCTGCTGTCGGCACGGAGAGGATGAGGATATGAGGAGTGCAGTGCTTGCCGTCGACAGGTTATGCCGGCTTGCATGGTTTATTGATGTCATAGATTGCCCCACAGTCATGTTTGCAACAGGTGCTGGTGCAGGGGCTTGCTACTGCTAATTATGTTGGACGTACGCATGTGCAGATTCGACACGGCTCATCTGCCAGCTCAGGTGTGGGATACTTCGATCTTGCCTCTTCAGAGAATAGCGATCGTGCCGGATGGCCGCTTGTTGCAAGCCGAGTTCAATGTGCACGGGTCACGAGTTGCTTATTTGCCTCAAGCTCTCCGAGTAGGGATCCTTGTTACGTCCTTGTTCAAGGTGCACGGATCATTGATTTCAAGAGTCCAATCTGCCTTGGCTCCGCTTGAAACCCTTGCAAGACTCCGTGGTACAGGGAACTCTAGATTCTAGATTGTTTTTCCGCCGCTCTGCGTGGTTTTCCGGATGCTGCACGAGCTAAGGTGGTGCCGTGTCCAGCAATCCCATCACCACCATGGATTACGACCCCTCGACCGGAACGCTCTTCACAGGGCCAGAGCCTCGCCAAGCTTGTCGTCTTTGGCAGACTCTCAACATAACGGGGCTTCCACATGCGCCCACAATCTGCAACCTGCAATTGCAAATAAGCAGGGGCAGCTCCCCCCAAAGCTGAGCAAAGTATGATTCTCCCATGCGCCAAGGGTTTAACAACGTGTGATGTCCTCTGGTACAGCCGCATATAGCCCTGCACGGGTATGTCTCACCAAAGCTTGCCAAAGTGCACCAGGGTCAGAAGGTTTCGGCAGCTTGTCTTTCGCGCGCAACGCATGACAAGCTCTGCTAGCACAACTCTGCACTCAGGCATACTTCCTAAACAAAACTTCAAAGCAAGCCCGTAAACCTAGCACCCTGAGGTGCAGGCCCTCCAACCCACAAGACTCAACCATGGCATCCAGGTCCAAGGATGGCATCTCTCTTTGGACTGTGAAGACCTCCGACATGGGAGGCCGGCTGGCATCCTCTGTGAGCACAGATGCCTTTTCAGAGTGCTTGGCAAGGACTGCTTGCTCCGACAAGACGGACCTTCGCATGCACGCTGCAGTCAGCTTTGGAGTTCCAAACGAGAGCAACCTGATATGGCCGGCTCAAGATTTTGTCTTGGAGTTTTTTTCGCTGCCCCCTCTCGGATCTCGAAATGCCGAAGCGCAGCATCAGTGGCGACGAAGCCCAGGATGATGTTCAGACGCTCTGCGAGGAGCGCACTTGGTTTGATGCCGAGAAGCACAGGAGTGAGATCAGAACCTTTCTGAGGGGCCCAAAGACCACAGAAAAGTATGGCATCATCGACCTTTTCGGTGCTTCTGCGCAGATGTCCAAAATTTGGCGCAAAGCGGGTTGGGAGGCTTTCGCTTTCGACATCAAGAGTAATCCGGACCACGACATGACGAGCGCGAAGGGCTTTTGGACGCTGTGTGCTGCGGCCAAGAAGCTGAAGAAGAAAGGCCTCATCTTCGGGGGACCTCCCTGTTCCCTCTATGTGTGGATTTCCAAGTCTATCCACAAGCGGAGCCAGGAGAACAAGTTCGTCGGGGACACCTCCCGCTTGAAGGTCCGCATGTCGAATCGCATCGTTGCGAACATGGTTGTCTTCCTGGAGGAGCTCGCGGCGGTTAAGGAGTTCTTCTCGATTACAGAGCAGCCGAGCTCTTCGGAGATGTTCAAAATGAGGAACACGTCGGCCATGGTCAAAAAGCTCCTCAGAAGTAGCGTAGGTCAGAAGGTAACCTTCAGCCTTTTGGGATATCAAACATATATTAAACATCCCAATGGGTAGCCTTTAGTTCCCCTAGGATGCTCGACAATTCAGGCTCAAGATGGAGTCCGTTTGGACTTGGATGGGGCTCTTTGGGCACGAGCTCCCGAAGGCAACGGTGCTGACCGGGAACCTTCCATCCCTGCCTTCCTTGAAGCGGAAGATGACTTCCGAGTGGCGCAAGGAGACAAGCGTGTTTAAACATGTGTTGGGACTGTTCCTTGAGCGCCACACATCCTTTAAGCCGCTGTGTCCAGGGCTTGAAAGCTAGAGGGTTTAAGACTGGCTTGGAGTCTACGGTTTAGGGCTCTGGGTTTGGAATCAGGCTTACAGGGCCTACCCCTACTGTAGGTTTTGGTCCAGAAGAACCTTTAAGCCCTGTCAAACAAGCCGGAAACAGCCTTCAGTTACCCCATAAGAGCCTGCACAGTTCAACGGAGTCTATGGTGCAAGTGCTCCGGATCATGAACGAACAAATTGAAACGCGTAGGTTTAATCACTTAGCTTCATGAAGGGTTTAGCCTGCTTTCGTTTTCAACTTCAAACACTGACTGGTCAGAGGGTTGCCCCAGAGCTCTGGATCTTGAACGAAGGTGGTTAAACACGTTAGCATCGTGTGTAGGTTAACCTGTTTCGTCAGACAAGCTGAAGCGGTTTAAACCCAGCAAGCTGAAACGGCTTCCACTTGACGGGTCAGAGTGTTGCCTCGATTCAGACACTTAGCGTTTAAGCATCGATGCGTTTAACAGCTCAAAGTTTAAACAAGACCCCCGCCCCAACCCTGGGAGGAGTTCCAGAAAAGAAGGAGCAAAGGCAAGCTGTCCAAGTTCTACACCAGGCACGGCGATAATAAAGTAACCGGTGGCAAGAACCTCCAAGCCACCGCGGCCTACACGTCACAGTTCCTGGGTTCTTGTTATGGAACGTAAGTTACAGTGATAAGCAAACCCTTAGCCTTATAGATCCCTGTTTTGGTAGAAAGTTGTAGCTTAAATCTGCTTAGTTAAGGAAGTTCCGTAAGAAGAGCCCAGGTTCTGCAGAGCAGTGTACCGAGCTTGGGCGCGCGACATCAAGTCAAAGTCCCAGTGAGCTCCGCTATGCAAGGGGCAAGTTCAACGGAGCCCCGAAGCAGGCAGAAGAGTCCACATGAGCCGTGGTTTTTGTTAAGCGGTTCCTTGATAAGGACTTGACCTGGGCCTAAACCCCAAAAAATGACCGTGAAAAAAATGACCGTGTAGCAAGAAATGCATGCTTGCATTCATGTATATGACATTTTTTGACCGTGGATCTGTACGTTCATGGCTGTACGTACATGTTGCTTTCGTTCCATATGGTCAAAGCTATGGCTCTCAAGCCTGGGAGGCCAGCAAGCTTCAGAATTATCCTTATCTTTATCGGAAGCCGTTTCCTTGGTAGCATCACCACCATTCTTGCATAATCTATACTACTGAATTTTTCCAGTATCAATACTTTCTTGCCACGTCCAGTTGCTTTGTCATGAGCATTTGCAGACCTTGCAATAGTAACCAATAGTAATACAGAGAACAGAAATAGCACATCAGTGTCATCGTCTTCCTCTTCATTATCATCATCTTAGTCGTACTCATGGCTCACGCTGTACTGTAGTCATCGCAATTGACCTTGGCCGGCACGCATTGCTTCGTATGCGTCATTCTTGCCATGTTGCATTTTTCCGAAATTCTCTCCCCCCCCAACACTTCGAAATGGATTGCATGTAGAAATCCGAAAGCCGCCGAATTCCCTACCCCAATGGCTTTAATCCGATTTGGAGTTGGATGCCCACCGAAAGTCCCTTGCGTCACAGGCCGTAAATCGCATACCCCGAAGGCTTTAAACCGAATTTTGGCTGGCTTGGCCCGCCGAAATTCCCTGCCCCACAGGGGCTTAAACCAAATTTTGGATTGGAATCCGAAAGGCACCGACATTCCCTACCCCAAAGGCACACAGGCCTTCAACCGATGCACAGGACTCATTACCAAAGCTCGTCACCATGATGAAATTGAAACTTGTCGTTTAGTTTCAGACCGTCAAAAGTGGACGTAGTCCTATACGCGACGTTTGCTCGAACAGATAGCCTCCTACCTGCAGACGCAAACCCCGCAGACTCGCTAGAGCCCGACGCGCGAAAGCACCGCTGAAGGGTTTGCTAGGTTGCACTCCACACAAGGAGGAAGAACAACCACAGCTCACGTGGACTTGTGTGGATCCCATTGGGAGAGATCCTAGCTATAGGCGTTTTGGGCGGCAGGGCCGACAGTGGTGTGGGCATTGCCGCGTCCTGGCATCCGCCGTTTCACTCAGCCCCGGGACAACCTGCGAGCTGATGGTAAAGATGCGAAATGTTTTTTGATTAGTATTACAGGACGCCTGCTAAGTTGCAGAGCAGCTGACCCCGGCAACCAGGACCTGAAGCGGCCGTAGCCAGGTGTGCAGAAGCGGAAGCAGCGCTGCTTCAGAAAGAGATTCTTTCTGTGCGATGGAACTAGAAAGGCCCAGGGGCCCATGGCTGACTCGTTCCTTAACGTCAAGCGTCATGTGCATTGTGGGTTTGGCCTCTGATGGATTTGTGGTTTGGTTTGCGCCAGGTCGGGTGATGCCAAATGGATGCAGGTTGAAGATCTCTATCTACACACTTCCTCGGAACTCTTGTCGACAGAAACAGAGAGTCTTTGCGGCCTGAAGGTTGGGGAAGAAAGCTGGGGCAGATCACGGAGATGTCGTCTCCACCGACCGCCTTGGTCTGGGTGTCTGGGCATCAGAATATCTTCGTGCCCAACATAAATTACACCCTACTTGACGGACGAGGGATTGAATTGAGTTCTACCCCCACCCCTTCATTAAGGAATAGAGCTTCAACTTTTGGGGGCTTAACTTCTCACTCAAGGTAATTGTAACACTGAGGGAAGGTGTGTGTGTGTGGGGGGCTCTTTGGGTCGAGGGATGCTAGGATGACCTACGTAAGGGAGAATATCTCAGAGCTGAGGCTTTCAAGCATCTGTCTTCCAAAAGCCCTTTATAAGGCCCAAATTGTAGGATCCTAAAACCAGAACCCCTGAACCCTAAACCCTCCCGACGTTTAGGCGCATTTTTGGATCCCTCGAAACCGGAATCAAGGCAGCCTCGTCGAGAGAGGTCATCGCAGGCTTTGGAAACGGCGCAGTGCCGTGGTTGCAAGCAACGTATTGTTAACAGTAATACGTCTTAACATTAACATGATAAATAGCAATAGTAATCAATAGTAACATACAGCTGGCGCCTGTGTTGGGACATGCTGGGGCATGGTTTCTGTATTTCAGGCAAGTCCCGTCGCGAATTCGCAGGTGGGCATTGTCCTCAGGTGTAGACTCGTAGACCCATGCGACCGCAGCAGCTCGTTTTGACCTCCAGCTTGTCGCTGAGGTAGAGAATGCGCCTGAAGTGCCAAAGCAATTAAGCCACCCTGCTAGATTCATGCATCGGTGCGGACCCGGGTGCCGCAACTTCGCAAGCTGCCGTCCCAAGTCTAAAGGGGCCCTCTCATGTTCATATTTCCTAGCTCGCTCGTGTAAAAGGTTTGTCGACAAAGAAAGGCCTCACAGCTGAAACAATCAAGCTGAAGGTTTCCATTTTTGTTATGACTCGGCCACTAAGGCGATTGGAAAACAGTTGATCGCCCTAATGTGGGGCTGTGTGTGTGAACCTCCCTAGTACATGGGAGCAGAGGGTCACTCCTGATTCTATGTTTTCGTCACCATGTCCTGAACTTTGCTTGCGTGGAAAAACAATTTTGTCAACATTCTTTCAAAACAGACATGTGCAGGGGGGGCAGCGGCCTAAGCAGACGCTGCCCAACAAAGCTATGCTTGTGTGATCTTGTGTGTAGCTGCAATAGGTCAGGCCCCTGAGCTGACCAGATTAGAAAAGCCAGGCCCCTGAGCTGGCAAGATGAGAACAACGTCATGTTGTCACAGTTGTCGGTTGAACACGCAGTCAGCATTTGCAACATGCCTCCCCCTTCTCTTTGCTTTCCTTCTTTCTTGCCCTTTGCCGAATCGATCAGTGTGTTGTGTGTTTGTGTGTTGGGCACATGGCTGGCGAGTTCTTGGTTGGTGCTACACACGTGGTAAATTTGGGGTTGTCGAGCGTGGGTTGGTCTTCAGATGTCTTCGGAACGGGAAGCCCACTTTTGTCGCGAGGTTGTGGTCTTCGATCTGGACCAGGGTGAGCCTAGCTATGCGATACAGGCCCGACATGTCGTGACCATGGCTAAACTTGATGCCCGGCACGTTTGTCTGTCGGAAGCAGATGCATGTCTCCATGTCTTTCGAGTGTGAAATGTAAGGGTGTCGCTGTAGTGTTTCCGGTATAGTTTGCCACACCAGCTGCTTCAGCTGGCTCGATTGGCAGGGGCGGCTGGGTGAACAAGCATTCTGCAAGCGCTCCTGCATTGCTCTTCACGGCGTCAAGACTCCAAGAATACACGGCATGCTGGGCCCCCCTCATTCCTAAATTTTGAACCTGTGTTCGGGGTCTCCCCAGCAGCACTTGCCAGGCGCATGCAGATGCTGTCACGGCCGCGCGGGCCCTGCTTGGGAAACGGGACGACGAACACGTGCCAGCCGCTGCTGAGATTTGCTAGCCTTGGCGATGGATCTGTGCGTAAGGTGCCAGCCAGTTCGGAGTGTCCATTTGAGCATTTCCAAACCCTGTGACGATTCAACCATCCGCTGTGCTTTGCATTCATTCCCCTGGTGTGCTAGATTTGATGTCAAGCACAGCCCCGTGCATCAGCTGGACTACCGGACATTGCTTTGCAAGAAGGTTGCTGCATGCTGCAGAGGTGTGTCACGAATTACGCCGTTACGTAATGTCGGAGGAATCAATCTGCCTCTATCGGTATCGGCTGCACGGCTGTCTACGGGCAGCGGATGCTTTGTTGTGACATAACCCGCAGATTCGCGGCTACATAATCAGGAAGATACAGGAAGCCAGAGCACACGCAAACTTCGAAGCATCCCCAAGTCTCAGTAAATGTGTAGATTCATAGCTGCACTTGCATTTTCGAAGAGTATATGATACAGGGCTGTATAAAAGCGGATCTGTCCCCCCCCCCCACACTGTCTGCAGTTACCAAGGGTCCCATGAGAAGTGATGGTTTCAGGCCAAGTGGCTCGACGCACCACGAAGGTTGCTCACAGCATCGAAGGACGCACACCATTATGCCATGATGATAGTAGAAATCCTGAAGAAAAATGACCAGTGATGATGAGGAATTAGTAACAATGTTCATTGGGCTTCCTCGTGTGAGGCATTCCAGCATTTTCGCATCAAAACTCTATTCTCATGGCTAGGGCTTTGGGGATTTGTTTTGGGAGTCGTGTTGAGTCTGACAGGAGGAGTGAAGCTGAGCAAGCTTCGGGGCCCGCCGTCTCGGCCGTAGATCCTAAACACACGACTTGGGGTTTCAGGGCCGGGGGCTGATAGTAGTTATAGTATAACTATAAGTTATAACCGCACAGCCTAAATCCCCTGATCCTCGGAGTAAGCCCTGCAAGCCCTGTGCCTTGGAGGATCCGTTTGCTTGGGGTTTTGGGTGCGGTTTAGAGAGTTTAGAGTTCAGGGTTTAGGGTTTAAAGCTGTTTCGGGTTCCAGAGGTTTCGCGTCTTTGGGACGACCAGGAGCGACATGCAAGCCTGATGCAAACAAAGGTAGCGGCATCGTGCGGCAAATGGCTTTGTGAGAGAGGTGTTGAGCGAATCTCAATTCTTGTTTTCTTTTTGTGAGCTTGGTGAAGGCTTTGGTTAGCCTGGCTGAGCAGTACTCGCACCCAGCTTCGTCCTCTCAGGTTTAATATGGTTTAAGCATGTTTGACGTGCCAGTGTACAGATGGTTCTGGAGGGCTGGCTATCGGGGTGGAGAGAAGAGCCCGCAGTATTGTCTTGTGGATTGGAGCTTCATCTCATCTGTTGCGGTGTGTAGGAAGTGTATTCGGGAGTGTGGCCCCAAAGCGTCCAAGAGCGAGTCAACGAGGACAAGACGCTGAAGATTTGGGATTTCCCATCTCTGCAGCGGGTGCCGGACTGAGGAGATAATGATATGGGTTCACAGCTGACGCGTCACATCGTTGATGGCTTACAGGGTACCAGGGGTTTATGGCTAACCGGTTGAAAAGTGTCCATCAAGCCCTTAACCCTAAGCCGCAACCTCTCCACGTGGGGGCCGAGGAAACCCGCAATCCAAGCAACCCCTTTGCGGCCCTTCCTTCCGTTGCGATGAGTAGCTCAAAAGATCCTGGAAATGTTGTCGATTCCAGAAGCCATAGAGTAACTTCAAAAGTGGAGAACAACTACATAGTGTTTACCGTGTTTACCGCAAGGGAAGCAGAACCGCAAGCGAAGCAGAATCCGTGGACAAAAGGTCCTTGAGACAGGTCTTCCAATTTTCGGCGGCCCCTCGTGCACGCGTCAACCCTAGTCCAAACCCTACCTTAAGAACCCAAAACCTACTTTTTTGTAGGGTCCCTATACATCCCATATTAGGGTTTATAATAAGAACCTACAAAAAAGTGGGTTTTGGGTTCTTAAGGCAAATCCTAAGAACCCCCAGCCTGGCCGCTGCTAGACCATCTGGATGCAACGGCAGAGAGAGCGGAAGAGGGAGATGAACCAAAAATCCTCCCCTTGGCAAAGGCAGGCATGCCATGATGCTCTTGGCATCTTGTGACCTTCCCAAGCTTTACTTTAGGCCCAGCCTCTCTTCAAAGGCACAAACATTATAATTCCTGTTGTAACTTCTTTAAGGTAAGGCGGATTTACTACTCAGGGGTCGAAAAGATGATCGCCGGCCGAATTCCGCAGCAGGGCTCCAGGCGTTTTCATGCATGGTACGGCGCAGATAAGTCAGGTCTCGGGAGAGGTGGTGGATGCATGTTCGACGTGACATCATCATGTTCACCTATTCAGCCCAGAATCAGAATCCTCTATCTGACCCTTTGACCTTGAGATCCAACCTAACCCACCCTGATCCAACTTATCCCTGAGACTGCCCCCGTACTCGCTGTAAGTTCAGCATGCCGACTCCATCAGCATGCCGTTTGACACTGTGTGTGTGTGTGTTTCCTCAAGTCGAGGTAGCACCAGTCCCTGTCGAGCCATGTGGGACCTAATTCGGCTGAGCACTCAACCAGTACGTGTGCTGGTTCGACCATCCGGGGAGGCAAGAATTCGAGTTCAGAGTTTTTGATGCACGCGCTTGCAATGCAGTTAATCAGAACCTTGCGTTTTTGATGGGAAGCTGCTGCACACGCTCTGGTGCCATCTCTGCTTTATTAAAACTTTATTATGGCAAAAGCTGTCGCGTCGAACCAGGACCTTGCTTGGACTGCAGAGCGACCGCCTTCCCACCAGGAGGAGGAGACACGGATGAGATGCGTTTGGAGCTTTCGGCGTACGGCAGTGCTTAGCTTCAACGTTCCTGATGCAATCTCAAATAAATACTGACTACTGAAAGCTCGCAAAAAGTTGTCCTTTTCCAGTGCTTGCTGGCCTGGTCTTTACGACAAGTCTGAGCCGTGCATCAGCACTAGGTGACAAGTCTTTGAATCCTGCTGTTGGTTGAAGAGGAGTTCGGAATGTTGCAATTAACACAAGGGTCGGAACAAGTAGTTACATTATTCCCTGACCCTTATGTTATCATACCCTTACTCATTGATTCATATAGGTCAAAACAGTCAGTTACACAGGCCTTTATCGCCGCCTTACTCTTCCGGGCCTGGAACACTACCGGCCTCGTGGAGGGCTCCGACCCCGAAGTCTTATGAGTACTTATGAGATGGGAGTTTCAGAAATTAGGGGTACCTTATATTGGGGTCCTTATAATAAGGATCCTACTATTTGGGTACTATATTAGGATCCCCTATTTTCGGAAACCCCCAGATGAGACCGTAGCCCCAGGAGTCGCGAGAAGGCGACTGCCTGCAGCGGGGCGAGGAGAAGTTTAAGGACGAGCTTTGCAAAGAGCTTCTTTGCTGAACCACGTTTAGTAGGAGTTGCGGGTACAGGACACTCAGGAGCGACTGCGCCCAGGGCAACCGCAACATGAAGTGTACAACACCTGAGCGGATAGTTGGCTCCAGCAGCAGAGAAAGAAAGAGACGTGGTGAGAAAGAGAGCGAGAAAAGGACAGGACGGTAACTAGAGAGTAAGGAAAGCTTGCGGATTGTCATCTGCCAATGCAGGCAAACCTGAGTCGAAATCCGTGATTCTATTAATCCGGGCCTGTATGACACCAGAAACCCCACTTTCTCTCGATCCTCGCCTATGCACTCCTGCACATTCGAACAACAGTGCTCTGCTTCACCTGCTGCCACGCTGTGTTTGCCCACCGATGCTCATGCAAAGAGGCGCGCCGCTGTTGCTCGGGAGCTGGACCCGCCCTTATGTCCGAGAGAACGAGGTGCTAGAGCGAGAGTCTGAGATACCCCAAGCCTTAAACCTGGAATCTTAAACAGAAACTTGCTTCGAGAAGAGGCTGTCGCGCTGGCTTGGATGGGGTGCTTGCGCCTTCAGCTCGTGGGAGGTGCCTGATTCCAGGTGACATCCATGAAGTACTCGTGAAATCCGCCAGGCACGAGGCGTATAGTATACTACGGTGCTGCCAAAGACCGGGTCGATGTGGGCTAGAGGTTCCGGAGCACCTCTTTTTCCTTTCTGCTAAGCTTGAGTGCTCACCCCACCACATGCTAGGAGCCGATGAAACTTGCTGTTTCTTGCGGTGATTCTCGCGCCATGCACCATGTGAGGGTTGAGCTGTGATACCCGACCCGAGGATGAAGTATAATTAGTGGTCAAAACGATCCGGAAGACGGATTTGCTAAACATTCTAGCTTTAAGAGCTGGCGCAACATCTGGCTTAGTTTAGGTGCAGTGGTTCAATCCTAAGCCCGGAAAGAAGAACTGAATCTTCGAACCCTGTCTCTAGAGTGGTATTGGGACTGTAGCGGGGAGGAAAAGAGCCTTCAAGAAAAAGGAGCGCTCAGCCGGAACGCCTGCGATGCAGGAGGCACCAACACCACAAGAAGCGCTTGTTCTAGAAGCCTGATAGTTACAAAAGCTATTCCTTAGGGTTTCTCATGAGTAAAGTTGTTCTATATTACAATATACTTATAGCCTCATTCCAATTATTAGCTTCTTCAGGCCCCCCAGATCAGACTGACCGTTGACCTTTGCTCACGGCGTGCCCTGGGCCAGGATACCTGTCGCCGCATCGCGGAGGCACCTTCGAGCTTGGATTCTCGTCCGCATCCACTGTGTACTGATAACAACAATCGTGCATAATGACCATCATCACCAGCACAGTAATATTTCGTTGCGTTGTATTGATTCTGCGCTATAGTTGGAATTGAGAACCCAAGTATACTATATCGTATCCTGTACTAAAATATAAATATAATCAGGAACCCGAAGCACACATGGCATATGATATTGTTTTCTACACTGTAACCATGAGAAGCAACCTTGAGGAGTTGTATTGTCGCCTAGGAATCAGATGGATTGGGCAGAGATCCTGCAGAAGAGATATTTGGTCTGGTTGGATGTTTAGTCTGACACTAGCCATGGTATTGAGGCTACGCAGCAGTTTCACAGCGCACAGGAACTGTCTTGAGTCCCGACAGTTAACTTGTCCAATTTTCCGGGCCAAAACCAGGTCCGGCACTTGAATAGCACCCTCTTCGCGCCCGCAGCAAAACTGCAAGAAGTGGCATTTGGCCAGCGTCTTTGGGTTTGAGGTTGGGGAGGTGCCGTGCGGCATGGTCCGTTCGGTGTTGTATAGATGCGGCTTGAAGATCGGAGTCGAACTGACGGTCTCCGGCAACGGGCTCGATCGAGGGCTCCGTTGAAGTCTAAGTGGTGTTTCAATCAACCACCCTGCCGACCTAAAAATACAAACGGACATTTGAGTCCTACACGTTTCCACTGTCGCGAGATTTTTGCAGTGTTTGACTCAAAAGATCTTGCAATCTGAGGCCGAGGTCGCGTGCCAGGTCGTGAACGTCGAACCGACATGCCTTCATGGCCTGCATGGTGATGCGGCCTGGCAATGTGGCATGATGTATGTAGCCTGACCCAGTCGAGTGCGAGTGCCACAAGACACTATCGGTCGCGGTAGCGGTAGCTTGCCTTCACAGAGCGTCTCTCGTCCATGGCGTGCTGAGCCAGTGAGCCTCAGATTCAGATTCGCTGCAGCACGCGCCCATCCAAGCGTGCACTTGCTCATGTCTGCTTGGGATGTTGTTGCACAAGCGAAGAGTCGATTCGGCTGGGACGAGGCAAGTTGAATATCAAGACCCCCAGTCTGCGATTCTGTGTTTGTCTACATGGTACCTGTAGTTCATCAGCATCTGCGGCAGCGTCGTTTGCCAGTATAGAGCCCGGATGTTGAAGTTGGCACAGAGATCCACAACTTCATAGGGAGCAGTACTCAGAAAGTCCCTTCAAGGCCTCGGTTCAAGAAGAAACTGAAAGCCCTGCAACTTACACGTGTGTTTGAAAAAGTGCATTGGTCGATGCAGAGCACGGTAAAGGCCGTAGATAACCCCTAACAACTTTGTATAAACGGCTCGATAAAGCGCTGTACAATCTCCAGATGAAACCTGCTTCGGTACAACTTAGCCGCGCGCTCAGGAGGTGGCGGACATCACCTGGTGGAAGCGCTTCCTTACCAGCTTCTGGTCCTACGGTGTTTAGTGGTCTAGGAGTGGTCTAGGTGACTAGCTGTGACTTTTGTTGCTGAGGCTTTAATGGTAGCGTGAGGGTGTTTGGTAGTTTAGGCATAAAGTCATATAAAGCTTATAGGGTTGAAGGGGGTTCAGGGCTTCAGGAAAAAGGAGGTCTTGCAGGGTTGAGGAGGCAAGGCTTCGAGTTTCCTTGGCGCAGGCTCACAGACGGACCGTTCAGCTCGCTTTTTGCGTTTATGCCAGAATCCCAACCTCTCAAGTCCCAGGTCTGAAGGGTTCATCCGTCTGAGCTGGGAACATCTTCTCAGCAGATCACCCGTAATCTTAAACCAAACAAAACCCAAATAAACCGCTCAGGTTACATTGAATCGAACTACGACCACAGCGGTCGTGCGACCAGCACCACCACGGCCAATGCTGACCCAGTTTTAGCACAGAACCTGGGCAGGCACGCCACAGCTGCCACTGCTATCAGGATAATAAGGTCCATTGCTCTGGGTCAAACACAGTCCATCAACAGCGAGACCGACTAGATACTGAAGATGAACGCCCGATGCATCAGCATAATCAGGCCCCAAGCTTATGGTCTTTCCACTCTGAGTTTCAATCAGATGTACACGTATATATATATATATATATCTATTATATGTATAGATCAAAGGAAGATGCCAGCAGCTCAGAAGCCTTCGCGGCAAACCCTCTGATGATCTGATGCTCGAGATCCTCTGAGTACACAGATCCGAGAAGCATCCTGATCTAATGAACCTCCTGCTGGCATTGATCTTTAGGTCAGGTGGTGTGCTTGTCTGCCATTTTGGCTTTGCCTTTTTGGTCGGAGAGTCGCGCAGGCCGCCGAGCCTGTCGGTTTTCTTGCTGTCGGACCGGTCCTGAGATGATCACGGCTTCTGTTCATGCCGATAAATTGCCGATAAGTGGTTGGAGGATCAAAGAGCATGTTGAGTAGATCGCTGTAGCACCGTAGGTGCAACGGGTGGCTCCCGCCAAGGAGCGGAAATGTTCAGGTGTTCAGGCTTCAGGAAGTGATAAAAAAAGCCACGCAGCCTCGCAGAATCACCCATGCATTGTTGGATGTGGTTCCATGTTGAGGCTGTCCTCCATTGCCCTCTAGTTCAGATTTGAGTGTGGGTGCAGGTTGGACAAACGATTCACAGCCCATCCAACGTTACCCACAGCCCATCCAACCTGTGCCTTGACTTAGGCATCATGTATAGCCTGGGCAACGATTAGACATTCGTTGGTGCTACCCCAAAGTCGACTCATCCGGGTGGATCAATTTCTGTGGCGTTCATTACACCGAAACTTTGGAGACCAAAAACTCCAAGTCCTTGAGGCCAAATGCTCAACTCTTCCTCCTCGAGCCTAGACAACGACCATGCGTTTCATTGAGGGTGAATTCTGAATTACGGGGTTTATGTGAGTGAAGGTTCATAGAATTTTCTCGGCCCCTTCATTTAGGAGTATGCCTCAAGCCTTAACTGGAGAATCCTTAGTACTGTTTGGGGGAAGTTCCTTCAGGATGCTCACAACAGTTTGCAAGCCCTATACAGCGTAAATCTGAACCTCGCCGGGCTTGTCCAGATGTGGCACATAAGCAAGGTAGATCCCCTATCCCTGAACCCTAAGCCCTGAACCTTAAATCACCCCTAAACCCTAACTAAACCCTAAGGAGGCAAACAAAAGCCTAAAATCAGCTAGATTTTAGTCAGGGCTCCTCGGGTTTCCTACTGAGGCTACCCAAGGACCGCTACAAAAGCAGTCCATGACGGTGCAGGCTGAAGTCGCACCCTTGCGGCAACTCGTGAAGGGCTTCTTGAGGGTCCCTTTACGGGTTCTTGAAATCAAGTGTTCTTGCAGGCCCCTTTTGAGGGGTTTAGGGGGTTTAGGCTGTCCATCAAGATTTTATAGGAGCTCAGTGTAAGAGTCAAGGGCTGTAAGGGCTTAAAGGGTTTGCGGGGTGAAGGGTTCGTTTTCGGGTCTTGGGAGCTTTACGAACGAAGTGGACGGCGGCACGGGTTCCGCGCCCCCGTTCATATTAGTGCTGCTTGAGGACCAAGCCTGTTGAATTTTCACTTGTACCTGTCGTCTCCATAGCCATAGTCGCAGAGAAGGCCTGAGATTAAATAAGTATATCTGAACACAGGGCTGCATTTCGGGCTAAGCCCATGACTTTATCAAAGCTGCGCGGGGAGTGCACCAAGACCGTGACTTCCAGACTGTGCTTGGTCTCGAGGTCAAGTCACCTCGAGCTCCCTTATCTAACATAAGAGGCACCTATGCTTGCAGCACAGTTCTCTTGAGCAGCGACGGCACGGCGTGTCTGTGTGCCACGCAGACCTCTGCAAAGGTACCATGCTAAACACGTTCTTTGTAGGCATCGCCACTCGCGACTGGATGTTGCAGTTATTGCGGGATGTTCATCTAGACTTGGGTGAATTTTGGGCCTGAGACACTAGAAGGTTGACCCCTGAACCAAATGGTTTGCCGCGTGAGGAGCGACTCCAGATAGAGGCCGACCAGCGCGGGGATGTCTACTTGGTTTTGCTGAAGACTCAGAGTGGTGCGGGTGTATTGTTTTGAAGTGTATTCTGATGCAATTAATACATATTTTAATACATGATATAAGTCGATTGCACTGTATTATGCTATATATCAAATTTTCTGAAAGTCAAGTTCTTCTGGAATCCGGTGTCCAGGATGGAAGATGCAAGGTTGGGGGTTGTACCCCGGAATAGTCCGCTAGAGTTGCGGCCTTGATCACCGAAGGATGAGAGACAGAAGGGTTCTGTGTGTGCGAAGCCCTATGTACAACATACAATATTTAAAGTCTTACTGTCTGGCTAACATTCCCAACAGATAATATGTAGTTTATAGCATATTGATATGATACACAGTATAGAACACAAAACATATATATATATACACACATGCATACATACATGCGTACATACATGTACTGAGTTATATGCTATGTATCATACATACCATGTAAGCCCTTTTATATATTATAGAACCCATTCTATACAGTTTATGGTCTATAACACACTATATCTTGAATATTTTTTGTTTATTCAATACAAACACATTTCGGAAGATATATTGTATTTTGCATTTGATGTTTTGTGTATATCGTGTATATATATATATATTGATATATGTATATATATATATATAATATAGCTATTTTGGTATGTGATAAATACGATGTGTTCTTTGTCTATTAGTATATATATATATCGTTTTATATGATGTACTCTTTTCTTGTTATATGTTGGTATATAGTTGGCTGGTAGTATGTGTTATATTGAAAAGACAAACTTGTAGCTTACAATAGAGTGTTGAATTTCTAACATGTATTTCAGTATACATTCTATATGCTATGCTATATAATAAATATGTGTGTATATAATAAAATTAGTATAAGATAATACAATACAACTTACTATGATATAATACAATGTAATATAATATAATGAAATTAAATTTTTTCAAATACAATATGTTATAATACAATGCAATACAAAATAATATAAAGATAGAAATATAGTATTGCTGCTTGTTTTCGTAGTTGCACTGACTTGCCTTCGCACTGCCTGCACTTGCTTTCTGTCCTTTCCTTTACCTTTCCTTGGCTGCACTGTCTTTGTCCTTGTCGGTCGATGTCCGGACGCCCGAGCCCTATCCTACCCTAGGCCTTTCTACTGAGTTTCGCGGGAAATGGACTTTTTGGGCCTCTGCATAGGCTAACATCCTACACTGCACCTGGAAGACGTTTCTTCCCGTTTCGGAGCTGCGCTTACACCCACGGACTGCATGGGCTTTTCTGGAATGCCTATGCTGCGACTGGCAGGTGTTTTTCCTGTTCCGTCGGCTCGTGCATAGGACTCGCACTCGTGACTACAATGCACAACAACTCTTCCAAAGCCTGCCAAACTTGCGGTGGGCAGAGGACGGTCAGCAAATGTGGCATTCAATGGATTGAAGCCTCTGCATAGGCTCGCCTGGCTCGAGATCACCTTTGAACATGTGCTGCCTTAGCTGAGAGTGGATGTGGAAGTGACCAGAAGACGAGGTCTGTGTGGGCCTGTGTTAGTGATTGCAAACCACTCCTTGAACCCTTTGAGGACTGTTTTAAAGCTGAGCTGACTGTTGACTGCCTGATGCTGAATCTTGTTGCAGAAGGGATCAACATGCCTCGTGATAGACTTGACACCTGCCATGCAGAGTCACAGACGATGCCAAGCGGGAGCCAAAGATGTGACGCATATGCTATATGTAATTTTGATATATTTAATACCCAACATATACTATGAAGTATAATAACACTACAAGGTTCGGTTTATAGCATATAACGTAATACAGTAGTTTAAAATACAGTATACGATAATATACTAGAGTACTATATGTTACAACATAATAATGCATAAGACAATATAGCAGATTTTGATACAACAAAACACAATACACTAGAGTAGTACAAGCTAGAGAATACTATAAGACATAGTATAGCATGATATACCATAATACAGTATGTAGTGTAATATGTAACATAACATCAAACATAACTAACATATATGTAAATAACATGCTACATAATTTAAAATTGTCATATATTCGTAACATAACATAACATGACATGACATAACACAATGTGTATATGTATTTCTATGCAAGTGTACATAAAGCACATGATCTGTTTACATATTGTTTCATATAGAGAACAAAAGACCACAAAACTGCGTGCCGTGCGGACAGGGTGATGCCGCGTCCCGAGGTTAGATCAGCGGTACAACTGTCAGCAGCAAGACCCGCCTCACGGGCGGTTAACGTGGAGGAGCCGGTGTGATTTTGGAGAGATTGCATATGTTGGGACTCAGCCCTGTCACTACCGTGGCAGAGGGGAGCCTGTGAGCAGAAGTTAGCGTCCAACAAGGGACCTTGTGCAGACGCTATTGTGTTTGTGGTGCTTCATTGAACTTGGTTCGGGCACCGTAACATGCAGGCTATTCTCCTTGGTAGTTGCATGCCGATGTTTCCTGCCCCAGTGGCGATAGCGGTGCTAGTTTGCTGCTAGTGCTGTCGAATGGAGGAGCTGCAGTGTACTGATTTGGATGGAGATGGGCCTCAAAGCCTTCATAACGGCTCACATGGCTGCATCTGGGAAACGCTGAAACATGCTAGGTAATCACATACTGGTTCCAAACTGAAGGTTTGGGAAGTTGATTCCAGGGGTTCTTGATCTGATCTGATCTGGTCCAACGAGGGTGAGCCTTCGACATCTATCCAAGGGTTTCGCGGTTGTCTAGTGCCGCTGGCAGAAGCACCTCCCGGATTCAGCCGCAACCAGTCGGTCCACTGCCTTAGCCCATCACGCGTTCTCCTTGGAAATCTGCGATGAGACAAGACCCAACAACCGAGTCCTCTACCTTTGCTGGTTTTGACGGGGCCTCCAAAAGAAATTGTATCTTTTGTTCTTGCTTTCTCTTGTCTTTGTCCGTCTTGTGGCCCAGTACTTTCAAGCATCATGTCCGTAGCAGAGTTTCGGGGTTCCTGGTTGTGTGTTTCGCATACCTGTGCATCAGCTTGTGTAAACCATGTACTGGCTAGCGGCTAGCGGGCATGTCCGGCGTATCCTGCATGTCAGAGCATTGGAGACTCCGGAGCCTCTTGCCTCCCACAGACGCATGACCTTCAGGCTCAACTATCACTGACCTGGTCGGCTGATGGAACGGTCGAGATCACAGCAACGAGCTTGGCTGGAGCTAGCATGTCGTGCTGGAAGGGCCATCCCAGCCAGGACCTGCGGATGATCACAGCGACAATAGTAGTGACAGCAGTTAATACTAACACTAATGACACAAGTCATGATTTGATTGTACTGCAAAATACTATTACGAATAGCAGTAATGAAGACGAGACATCTAATACTAGTTGTTATGTCCTGAATAATAAGACATGTAGATTTGTTCAATATTCAACAAGTTATGTGTATACAATATCACATACAG